ACTTCCCCAGCCTTTTTCATTTTTTTTTTTTTTATTTTAAGAGAGGCTCTCGATAAGTTGCCTAGGCTGGCCTTGAATTTATGACCATCTGCCTCAGCCTCCTGAGTTACAGGTATATAGGGTGCCTGGAATAACTTGTATTTTGAGCACAGGTGCTTTAGCGGTTCCCACAGAGCCACCCACGGAACATTGCAGAACCAGAGACCTGTCGCTGGTGACCAAGCATAACTCTTCTTGGATGACCCTTGACCTACCCTATTACACTAGATTTAAGCAGTGAAGGGTCACCCAGGAATCATATATCAATATAAGCTCACCTTAGAGTCAGGAAACCTGTATGCCAGGAGTGTGACCACATGCCATGTTGGGCATAGTAGGCCCAGGTTCCTCTGAACAGGACTGGATGAGTGTTGGCATCCAAGTTTGGGAAACCTCTTGCTGTGTTGCACTATGTTCGATTGATGACTGCAGGACAGTTGGGATTGTCTGCTGCTTGGTCAGCTGGGATATCAAGGGAATGGAGACCAGTTTTGGCAGCCTCTACCATGTAAAGTAGGAAGCTGATTATTTGGGCTGCAATTTTTCTGGGAAAATGTGCAAGATTTAATTTAATGGGAATCTTGCCAGCAGGCTTGCACAGCTCCATCTCCTGATGATTTTTGAAGCTGGCTCCTTCTGGCAGGCAGTTTATGTGTTTCTGGGAAGGGCTAAGCAGTTCTGTCTAGTACAGGCTGTATGTTAGGTCACGTCTTTGACCTTTAAGGATCCAACTCTGTGTCCCAAATGCTTTTAAAACAAAACAACAGCTATGCACCATGGTTCACACCTGTAATCCCATCTACTCTAGAGGCTGAGGAAGGAGGATTACATGTTCAAGGCCAGCCTGGGCAATTTAATGAGCTCCTGTCTCAAAATAAAAAGGGCCAGGGAGTGTAGCTTAGTGGTAGAGCACTTGGCTAGCACAATCAGGGCCCTGGGTTCAATCCTAGCACCACCAAAAAATGAAACAAACAAACAAACAAAAAAACCCCAAAATATGTATTTTCTTTGAGCTATGGAGTTCCCTCGTGGAAATACTATTCGTTTTTCTTTCCCCTTCCTTTCTCTTAAACCCTGTGGGCCAGGTTATCAGGGCCACGTATTGGTCTGTCTTTGCCTGGTCTCTCTATCCAGTGTGATGGGGATTGTTGTTTTCAGAGGACGTGTTTGGGTCAAAGCCTTCTCTCCCTGTTTGGTCTTCTGTTTGAATGATAGAGGCTTCTTTCCCAAAATATGGAGGTGCAGCCAGCCAGAAAAAAGCAAAAGGACATTTACTGCAGATAAGGCACTGGCAGGGGCAGGGGTATCATGGTGTGAGGACCTTGGGAGTGTTAGGGTTAGGAAACAGCTACATAAGTGTGTAGAACACAACGGGGGAGCAAGATATAGTCCAAGATGGAGAAATATTTGTGGAAAGATTCCTTGCAAAATTTTAACAGGGACAGTCAGAATGTAAATGTATAACCATTTAGAAATAGATAAATTAAGGCAACCCTATGCATTATTTTTGGTACCAGGGACGCTCAGCCCATTTTATGTTTAATTTAGAGATAGGGTCTCACAAGTTGCTGAAGCTGACTTTGAACTTGCAATCCTCCTGCCTCAGCCTCTCAAGCTGCTGGAATTACAGGCATGTGCCAACATGTCAGGCTTATAATTGCTTTTTTATTTTTATTTTTTAGTTGTCAATGGACCTTTATTTAATTTATTTATATGTGGTGCTGAGAATTGAATCCAGTGCCTCATACATGCTAGACAAGTGCATTACTTGGGTCAAGGCCTTCTCTCTCTGTTTGGTCTTCTGTTTGAATGATAGAGGCTTCTTCCCCAAAATATGGAGGTGCAACCAGCCAGAAAAAAGCAAAAGGACATTTACTGCAGATAAAGCACTGGCAGGGGCTAAAACCCCATGCCCCTTATAATTGCTTTTTTTTTAAAAAAAATATTTTTTTAATTGTAGTTGGATACAATATCTTTATTTTTAATTTTTATATGGTGTCGAAGATCGAACCCAGGGCCTCACACATGCTAGGCGAGTGCTCTACCACTGAGCCACAACCCTAGCTCCATACTTTTTTTTTAATATCTATATATGTCAATGGATCTTTTATTTGTTTATATGCAAAACCGAGGATCAAACCCAGGGCCTCACACATGCCAGGCAAGCGTTCTACCACTGAGCCACAATTCCAGCTCTTTATTTTAAGTTTTTTTTTCTTTAAAATTTTTTTTTAGGGCTGGGGATGTGGCTCAAGTGGTAGCGCGATCGCCTGGCATGCGTGCGGCCCAGGTTCGATCCTCAGCACCACATACCAACAAAGATGTTGTGTCCGCCGAGAACTAAAAAATAAATATTAAAAATTAAAAAAAAAATTTTTTTAGTTGCAGATGAACACGATACCTTTATTTTTTAAATTTTTTTAAATGTGGTGCTGAGGATCGAACCCAGTGCCTCACAAATGCAAGGTGAGCATTCTACCACTGAGCTATAACCCCAGCCCCCTTATAATTACTTTTTAAAAATAATTTTTTTAAGTTGTCAATGGACCTTTATTCTTTCTTTCTTTCTATCTATCCATCCATCTATCTATCTATCTATCTATCTATCTCTCTCTCTCTCTATCTATCTATGGTGCTGATAATCGAACCCAGTGCTCACACATGCCAGGCAAGTGCTCTACTACTGAACCACAACTCTAGTCCTAAAAATAATTTTTATGTGATAAAATACCCATGAAATTAACCATTTTAACCATTTTTTTTTTTTTAAACTGGGTGTTGAGCTCAGGGGCACTTTGCCACTGAGCTGTATCCCTAGCCCTTTTTATTTTTTAAGACAGGATCTTGATGAAGGAATTGTTGAGGAGGGTCTTGCTAAGTTGATGATGCTGGCTTCAAATTCATGATTCTCCTGCCTCAGCCTCCTGAATCTCTGGGATTACACTTGTATGCTATTGCACCTGGCCATTTTAATTATTTTTAAGTATACAGTTAAGCTACATTAAGTGCATTCACATTGTTATGCAACTACAAGGCTACACCTCAGCTGCCTCCTTGAATGGAGTTTTGGGGGGTTTTGAGTATTCTCAGCACAACTACTGGTTGACAGTCATGTGGCTAGAATCAGGTGTTATGTGTGAATTTCTGCTATTTCACTCTTAGAAGGTGATAACTTATTTCTTGGGGGAAATTCCTATTTCTTTGTATACTACAAAAACAGCCCAGCCTGTAGGTGTAGCTCAGTGGTAGAACACTTGCCTCAGTACTATGAAAAAAGAAAAGAATACAAAAAAGACTAAAAAATATTCAATTCCTTTTTTTGGACTGCCTCTCTTGCCAGTCAGACATCTTTGAGAGTTGCTGTAGCATGGGCCCTTCCTTGCTGTGGATAACTTAATTGCTTAGGCACCTGAGGTGGAAATAGTAAGAGGTCTGGGGGGCTCATGCCACCCCACCTCCCAGTTTTGTATCATCTAGGAGGCCAGTGGTAAATGTATAGGGGATGAGTAATGAGTTTTTTGTTGTTGTTGTTTTCTGGTATCAGGCATGGAACCCAGGAGTGCTTAACCACTGAGCCACACCCCCAACCCTTTTTATTTTTTATTTGAGACAGGGTCTCACTGAGTTGTTTAGGGCCTCATGAAATGGCTGAGGCTGGCCTCAAACTTGCAATCTTCCTGTCTCAGTCTCCTGAGTTTCTGGGATTATAGGCATGTGCCACCATATCTGGCAGGCAATGAGTTTTGACATACCCAGAGAAGCTTTGTGTGGTCTTGACAATGTAAGAGGTCTTGACAATGTAAAAGAAATCAGCCTGGCAGTACTTTTTCTATGTCCTGGTCCTTGGTGCAGAGTAGCTTGTCCTTGTGCATTTTAACCTTGTATTACATACTGCTAATCACAACATAGGATCAAGCTATTATATTTAGGTACTTCTTAGAAATAGGTTCTGCTTGCCTTAGCTGGAGCCAAAAAAGCCAAGCAACTAGAAGCCAGGATTTCAAGACACTTTTCTCTGAAGCCAGAGCTAGTGGTTCATGCTTATTCACACTGCCTCCTGTTTCTCCAGCTGTAAAGGCATTGAGATGCTTTCCATTAGGAAATTAAAATGTATAAGCTGGGAGTGAAGCTCAGTGGCAGAGTGCTTGCCAAGCATATGTGAGGCTCTGGGTTTGATCCCCAGCACTGTCCCCCCTCCAAAAAAAAAAAAAGAAAAAAGAAAGAAAGGAGAGAAAGGAAGGAAGGAAGGAAAGAAAATCAAAATGTAAAGGTTATCTTAAAGCCACTAGCATGTTGAGTCTACATTCAACTGGTTGTGGTGGCATTTACCTATAATTCCAGTGATTCCAGAGGCTGAGACAAGATGATTGCAAAGCCTCAGCAACATAGCAAGACCTTGTCTTAAAAAAAAGAGGGGCTGGGGTTGTGGCTCAATGGTAGAGCACTTTTCTGGTGTGAGGTAGTGGGTTCAATCCTTAGCACCATATAAAAATAAATAAATATAATAAATGTGTAATGTCCATCTACAATTTATTTATTTATTTATTTATTTTAGTGAGAGAGGAGAGAGAGAGAGAGAGAGAGAGAGAGAGAATTTTTAATATTTATTTTTTTTTAGTTCTCGGCAGACACAACATCTTTGTTGGTATGTGGTGCTGAGGATCGAACCTGGGCCGCACGCATGCCAGGCGAGCGCGCTACTGCTTGAGCCACATCCCCAGCCCCGTCCATCTACAATTTAAAAAAAAAATTTAGAAAAGATTGGAGTAAAATAAAAACAAAAACAAAAAGCTCAGTAAAAAGCTAGAGCACCCTCTAGTACTATCCTCCCTCTTCCCAAAAAAAGAGTCCACATTCATTGCTTTTCTCATTTTTTTTTCTGTCTTTTAACAAGAAATATTTGAGATGGGAGATMTATAATCACTTGATAACCAAATTTTTTTGTGTGTGCTTTTTTGAAGGTACATGGGAATAGGACTCTCAGCTCAAGGAGTCAACATGAACAGACTTCCTGGTGAGTCACTATTGCAGAGAACATATGTTTTGCTCTCCTGATCCATCCATTAAAATTACAGCAGCAGTTGAGAGGCTGGGAAGGACTTTGTTTGCTGGGTGCCTATCTCAAGCCAAGCCATTGAGGGGAGGATCCTGAAATTGGCCATTAGGCTGAGATAGTGTGGCCTTCCATTCCAAAAATTAATTGATGAGTGATTGTCATTCATGGAATTTGAACTGTTTGCAGTCAAAACCAAGTGACCTGAGCTTGCCTCCATTGAGGATACACCTTAGTAGCTCTCGCTCTCATTGACTTTTGCCTATCGGCCTGGGACTCAGGCATGTACTGGGAGGCATGTACTTCAAGCCTGGCTTCTTTGTTACTGCTATTTGTTAAAGACTTTGATCTTTAAGTGGCTTCCCATGTGGAATGTGGTTGAGGTGATTTCTGAACAAATAGATAAGAGTTAAGATGTCTGAGTTTGTAGCTCTTGAGTTGACAGCAGCCTTGGATTAGTGAAATGCTGTGGACCTGTAGATGGTTCTTATTCTACCAGCCCCATACCTTTTCAACTATTTTTTGCCCAATGGGGCTCATGCCTGGTCCTGGCCTGAGCACAGCTGAGGAGTCAGAAGTCTCCACCATGAGCTGATAGGTTCCAGATGATGGCCCTAAGTCCATTTGTCCCTTGAGTGCAGAAGTGACATATTGTAAACTGCTCTGATATCAATGTGGAGGTATGTAAAGATTTTATGATTTTGCCCCAATCCTCTATTCTTTGTGCTGTGACACAGAAAAGGCAACTAGCTTTCCCAATAGGGAATAACACCTCAACTTTTATGTCTTTTCCAATTTATGTTTGATATCAGCCACAGATTTGTCTATAATTGGATGATTTCAAAGACTGGCAATTTACAGTTGCTTAGGATTCAATTAATTATCAGGAATCTAACTTTTTTTTTTTTTTTTAAACTGTGATCTGAGTGAAAGCTGGTCTTTTGTTTTTAATCAGAATGTGCATGGTAGGTTTGACCTCTTCATATTGTGTGTTGCTGTTCTCTGTTATACAAGAGCTCAGTGTGCCCTTTGAACTTTTATTCTGCTTTGGTAATGCAGAAAAGAAGCTTTTTTGGCTTAATATATAAGTAACTATTAAAGCCTATTATTGCATGGCAGTATAAGCAATCCTGAATTGTTGGCTAAATAAATTTTTGTTAAGTTGCCCAGGCTGGTCTTGAAGTTGTGATCCTCTTTCCTAGCCTTCCAATTCTCTGGGATTACAGGTGTGTGCCATCATGTGCCTGGCATGACTGTACTGTTGACAGGGACAGGACATTTCTTTTCTTGCTTCTATCTTATATATATATATATTTTTTTTATTAAGAATAGTGCTGGTGGGGCTGGGGATGTGGCTCAAGCAGTAGCGCACTCGCCTGGCATGCGTGCGGCCCGGGTTCGATCCTCAGCACCACATACCAACAAAGATGTTGTGTCCGCCGAGAACTAAAAAATAAATATTAAAAAAATTCTCTCTTAAAAAAAAAAAAAAAGAATAGTGCTGGGACTTGGTATAAATACTAAGGCAGGAGGATTGCAAGTTCAAGGCCTGCCTGGGCAACTTAGTGAGATCCCGTCTTAGAATAAATAAGGGCTGGGAATGTAGCTCAGTGTAGAGCACCCCTGGGTTAAATCCCTAGTACTCCCTTTTTCCCCCCAAACAAAAAAAGTCAGCTGGGATTCTGATAAAGATGGCATCAAATCTGTACATCATTTTGGGAAGTATTGCCATTTTAAAAATATTCATTCTTCTGATCCATAAACATGGGATATTTCCCCCTTTATTTAGATCTACTTTAATTTCTTTCAGCAATGTTTTATAGTTTTTAGGGTGTAAGTTTTGCATTTTTTTGGTTCAATTTAATGTTTTTCCTTCCTTCCTTCCTTTCTTTTCTTTTCTTTTTTTGTGGTACTGTGGTCCACCTCAGGGCCTCACACATCCAAGGCAAACATTTTACCATAGGCCTGTCAAATTTATTCCCAAGTATCTTACTCATCATGCTACTATGAACGTGTTTTCTTAATTTCATTTTTGGGTTATTTATTACAAATGTATAAAATAGAACTTATCTTTTATTTAAAAAAACATTTTATATTTTTTTAAAGTCTTTTTTTAAGAGAGAGAATTTTTTTTTAAGAGAGAGAGAGAGAGAATTTTTTTAATATTTATTTTTTAGTTTTCGGCAGACACAACATCTTTGTTGGCATGTGGTGCTGAGGATCGAACCCGGGCCGCACGCATGCCAGGCGAGCACGCTACCGCTTGAGCCACATCCCCAGCCCTTTAAAAATACTTTTTTTTTTTTTTTTTTA